TCATTCCAGATGGCTCATGTTGTTACGAATATATTCCTGTATTGAAATGCTCAGGTAAGGTGACATATAATTAGAACAACCTTCTGCCTGTGCCATCTTGAATAATTTGTGGGGATGTGACGATCAAATTGGGGTTTTTTGTGCTCTCAATCTGATCTGAAGAAGTTGTTTATTGGTAGGCATTGCAAAACATTCTGTATGGTCACAATTATGAATATATAGTAGCTGCAAGCAGCAGTTGATGGGCTTTAAGCATGTTATATAGGCCCACACGGAATGTACATGTGCAAAAATCCACCGATTTTTAGCCCATCATTGAGTCTATCTATTTATTTGTGTGAATGTTTTAGTTATATTACTAAATTTTAATAATATTATTGACTAATATGAAATTGTTCATTTGATTTATTTGCAATACAGTTTGTAGTCATATTTCTTGCTTTTTAGTGGATATATTATATGAGAAACTTGCTTTGTTTTCCAAAAAAGTGCTTCTAGATAAATTTGCATTGTAAATATTAAATAAAAGTTAAAAAAATATATTATTTTGTTAATACCTATTTAGTTTTTAGTTACGATACTCCCAAAATCATTCCACATAAATCCGCAGATTTTTTACCAAATTATCTGCAGACGAGGCAGAAAATGTCCGCAGATTCTGTCTGACCCTAGGTATGACCTTTATGCACATGGATATTATTCATTATACAGATACAGATTATACAGGCCCGGCATTTAATTATTTATTATTTTTTTTGCCTCCATCAACCTGTGTACCTGTGTAATTTTGCTGTGTACAAAATTACATACTACTCATGTAGGTGCTACTGTACATTTGAATTTGAACTTACTACACATTAGAAAAGTATACAGTGGGGAAAATAACAACTCACCATTTTTCTCAGAAAACATATTTCTAAAGGTGCCGTTGACTTGAAATTGTGCCTGGATGTTGGTAACAATTAAAGAAATCCATATATGCAAAGAAAACAAATTGAATTAGTTTAAAAATATAAGTTATGCTTAATAAAATGAAATGACACAGGGAAATAATATTGAACACATGAAGAAAAGGAGGTGTAGAAAGGTAGTGAAAGCCCAGACAGCAGCTGAAATCTCTCAGTGGTTATTCAGGAACCCTCTGCCCTTCATCATTGTAAATTAATATTAGCTCCTTCAGTCCAACAGGATCATGAAAATAAAACCAGAGTGGACATTTCAGCAAGACAATGATCCAAAACACAGCCAAGCTGTAGAATGACCCAGCCAATCACCTGACTCTAATAGAATCTAATAGAAAATGCAAAATAAACATACTCAAGACATGTTCATGCTTTTTTTTTTATTCTGTGATATAAAATACATCAATAATGCCACACTCATCATTTTTAGGCTTTTATGTGTTTCAAATAGGGTGGTTGCTAACAAGACACTAAATGGGACTGCAGAGGCTGTCAGTGTAAATTTAACTGAAGTGTTTTTAATTTCTAAAGGTATAGTAGGCAGGGGGTGCAAATGTTTGCTAAGCAAATGAAAAGTTTCTCGGGAACATGATCATTTTATAAGAAAATGCAAATGTTTTGCCAGGCAGACACAATAAAACATTATATATGATTATTATATTGTGCATTTACTTCTGCTTGTGCAAATTGGTTTAATTAAAACATATATATTTTTTTATTTTACTGCATATATATTTGAATCATAGACTATAAAAGATATGGAGGTAGTATCCGTGACGTCACCAATAAACATTCAAACAGCGAGGGTCTCTTCAACTGTGCAAATAACGTTTTAGTCCAGTGTTGCTCTTTAGCCCTGGATCAGATGTGCTGTTGTGACGCATGTGCACTGTGAGGATAGAGAAGAATTGTGTTATTCATACTTTGTGTGTTTGCTCTTGTATATATTTCTGTTGCTGCTTGTTTTTTTTTTGTTTTGTTTTTTTTCTAGGCATGTTTGATTTGAATCCTATGATGCATTTTGGCGGGCTCTTCCGTCTACAACTTATACAGTTGAAATCAGAATTATTACCCCCCTCCCCCAACCCCCGCCCCTTGATTTATATATATATATATATATGTCATGGTTGGTTAAGGGGAAAAAGGAGCGAGGACCCAAATGCAGATAACTAAGGATTTATTGAAGAATACAAATAAAACAAAAAGGCAAAACAAACAACCCGAGGGGGAAAACCACTAATAAAACAAATAAACTTGACAGGGCAGACAAGGCAAGGCAGGACTGGACACAGCAGGATAGGGAAAGATCGACGACGAACTGGCACAGGACTGAAAACATGAGGGGATTATAAAGCAAAAAGTAATTTGACACACAGGTTAACAAGACAAACTAATAACGAGTTAACAAGGAGGGTGGGACTAGACAATAGACGGGAGAGCGCATGACACAGAGAGACAACACAAGCCGTGCGCTCACATAAAACAGGACTAGAACATGCAGCCAATGAGAGAACTCATTAAACGCATGTTCATGACAAGACAAGCACAACACTGAAGCACACGACAAAAGCACGTGACCACAATGTAAACACCGAGCCACGTGCTTTGACAAGAGACGCAAGACACGAGCACACGATAGATAAACACCTTACCTTGCGCTCACACATAAGCAATGCGCATGCTTCATCTCAGCGCCAACCAAAACTGAAACCAACTAGACGGAGGCGCCGAGAATAAAGCTGCGCGATGCTGACAGAACAAACACAAACACTAGTACAAGAGCGCACGCGTCTATGGGACGCAGAGTGCGCGCGGCCACATCAAGCAGCAGCCTGCACACTCCGCGTACACCCACGACGGAGCGCACGAACACAGATACAGAAACAGGACCAGACATGGGTAGTGTCAGAGCTCTGCCACAAAAACAAGAATTTACAAGACCAGAGTGGCAGAACCCTGAATATATATATATATATATATATATATATATATATATATATATATATATATATATATATATATATATATATATATTTATATATATATCCCAAATTATGTTTAGCAGAGCAAGAACATTTTCACAGTGTCTGATATTATTTTTTCTTCTTGAGAAAGTCTTTTTTTTTTTTTTTTTGTTTGATTTTTTTCGACTAGAATAAAAGCAGTTTTTAATTTAGTTTAATTTAAAAACATTTTAAGGACAAAATTATTAGCCTCTTTAAGCTATATACCTTTTCGATAGTCTACAGAACAAACCATTGTTATACGATAACTTTCCTAATTACTCTAACCTGCCTAGTTAACCTAATTAAAGTTAAGCCTTTAAATGTCACTTTAAGCTGTATAGAAGTGTCTTGAAAAATATCTAGTCAAATATTATTTACTGTCATCATGGCAAAGATAAAATAAATCAGTTATTAGAGATGAGTTATTAAAACTATTATTTTTTAAAATGTGCTGAAATCTTCTCTCAGTTAAACTGTTAAACTGACACAGTTTGATCCTTTCTGCCAGGCATCTCTGAATATTTTCCACTGTGCTGTCTATGAATTGGTTTTTAACCTTGCTGTCCAAAAACATATAGGTGTTTTGTTTATTGTACTTGATTTTAATTTTAAACTTTTTTTTTTTTTGATTGGTTGGTTGGTTTGTTTCATTATTCCTCCTTAGATTTGTTTTTTGTATTTTTTTAAGAAAATAAGAAATTAAATGTATCTTCATTAAAAATAAATAAATAAAATGTGTGATGTATATACTCTTGTTTGTTTTTGTTCTTTTTTATTTTCTTTTTTCAAAATGTTTTTTTTTTCAAAGTGTCATTTTCTTTATAATATACTGCAATTAAATATTCTCATTTTTCGTATAATAAAAAAAAATGAAGCCACAAGTGTACATGGCCAATCAGTGTCATTTTGTTCGCGCATCATCATTCTAACCGGGGGTAACCAAATAAGGGCAAAGAAGCAGAGCTGGAGCAGAGCTTGCGAGTTGCTAATCAGTTGCTGGACTTGCGAGTTGCTGGAGTCAGCTGAGGTGAAGTGACGGCATCCAGCAAGAACTTTTATTTATTTATTTATTTATTTATTTATTTATTTATTTATTTATTTATTTATTTATGCCTACTTATTTGTATGTATGTTTGTACTTTCATTTTAGTTGTCTTTTCTTTCGTTAATTTTACTTTCCAAAATGAATCCTTATTTCACTTAAGTTTACAATGATAATAAAGCTTGTTAAAAAGTATTTAATGATTAATGACAGAATTATAATGCTTTGTTTTATTGTTTCATCGTCATTTACAAGAAGCAACGTATTTCTATCCGTTCACATTCCGTCCCTATTTGTGCACTCTGGCGGCATAGTTGCCAAATGCAGTCATACCTAAAAAACATTTTTTTAATCCTTTAGGGCGGTGGTGGTACAAAGCACGGTGTTAATGCTCATACTAAAGTGTCAGTTACTGTAGTTGTCACTCTAGTGGCCACGTCCTTAAATATAGACACTTAATCTAACTAAATAAAAATTAAATAGATAAGATATAAAAAAAATTCTCCCCCCTCACAGTTGTCATGAAGGTTAATATTAGCTATATGAACCAAAATCATTCTTATTATTACCAGGTTGTAAACACCTTTTTTCTGCTGTAAAGTTGGCCATTTTGACGTTGGGCTCAATAGAAATGTGCACTATTATGGAGCCAGGACTAGAGTCATTTTCATGAATTGCAGTTTCAGTTACCTCTATAGCTTTACAAGGGAGAGCAGGAGGTTGCCGCTTGATTTGAATTTGAATTGGATTTTACATTGAATTAATGTATTTGTTATATGTCAGAATCCTAAACTTTTGTTATTTACATGCGTTATTTTCTGCAGTAATCCAAAGGAAAAGTCCTATTTACATTTTTCAAAAGAATCAGGGTGATTCTAACCCCTTGCTTTGGCCTACAAAAACACACACTTACAATAGCACTAAAGCAATATTATCAGAAGATGTTTTATATTTTAGAATTATTATTTTTTTTCTCCTGTATTTGGACAGGTAATGCAATCCGGCCCATAGCTCTACGTGCAGTTTCAGCTATAGCAAGAGCACTTCCTGGCTTCCCAATCTTGGCCACAGGTGGCATCGACTCGGCTGAGTCTGGATTACAGTTCCTCCATGCTGGAGCATCTGTGTTGCAGGTAACCACTTGCATCATCACCAACTGCTACCAGCTCCACCACCGATTGTAGGGTTTGTTTAGCATCCTATCATCTTTAACTATTATATTCTACCACCCTTCGATATCCACATTTTTAACTACATGGCTTTTGAATAAACATATTATTTGTGTTTAATGCAGTATACAAGCTTAACACTTGGGTTTAAACATGTGCATTAAGTAGTCAGTTCTAATCAATCCTTAAAAAGGAGTCTACAAACGGCTACACTCAAACAGAGCCGCCAGAGCCGAGGAACAACAACAATCTCAAAGCAAATTGCAATTTACAACATGGCTCTGAACAAGTTGTTAGTGCAAATAAACCCATTATCTCAACATGATGCCACAGCCTCGGAAAACTCTTTTTAAATAAATAAATCAAAACACTCTCATTATGTGCCGACATAACGTTTCACAAGTGCCTGGGAGTTCTGGGGGGAAAAAGACTGGAATTAAAACATTTTAATCACACCCACATGTAATAGCAGAGAGCTGGCTCGTAGTAATAGGAGAAACTGTAAACTAGCCAACTCCTCACTAGACTACAGTTGAATCGGTGTCACCGGCAGGTTACAGGAACACATCGTAGCTTCATCTCCTGCAGCGATTAGATTAGTCCAATGAGCTGCTCTGGCGAATGGCGTTAACTTCTCATAGACTCACGAAGATGCACTGCAACACGAGTAAACAAGAAAAGAGCTATTTATGTAGCACTTCTAAAAACAGCCTTAAAGGGATAGTTCATCCTAAAATTCAGCAGACAGTTCACCCACCTAGTTGCAAAGAATTCTGGCCCAGATTTGGCATTAAGCTGGGACAGCAGGCATTCATCCGGCACTGGCATACAGCATGTGGGCCAACCATGGCCTGGGTTTGGCAGAGGTGGCATCGTCTATAATGCGGCACACAAGATTTGAGCCAGATGTAAAACGTAGTATTTGGCCCAGATTTAAAAAATTGATTGTGGGCCACGTGAGTTTGGCCAGTCTTGACCCACATTTAAAATACATTAAAATAATTTTTGATTAAATAAATAAATTCTACCAATCAGGTCACTGAGAAAAAACAAGGCCCATAGTGTGCCTAAAGCGCAATGCTTCATGGGTTTATCAATTTCATTGCAATCGTGACACACCAACCTTACTGGCCCAGTGCAGGCCCAGTTATGAGTTATTAACTTGGCTGAGACTTGGCCCAGATATGGTCTGTGTTTGGCCCTTGTCTAGAAGCCAGATTTGGTCCAGTCATGTACCGTAATTCACTGCGGCATGTGGGCCAAGCAAAACCAGATTGTGTGGGCCAGAGCTGGGACAGAGAAATTTTGCTATGTGGGCCTTTACTTGTTTCAAATCTTTTGATCTTCTTTCTTCAGTTGAACGCAAAGGAATGTTTTTTTAAAGAAAGCTGAAAACACAAATAGTGAGTCAGTTTTTATTTTTAAGGAAAACTATCCCTTAAACCAGTGGTCCTCAACTTCCGGGCCGTTGAATGTACCTGTCCATGGATTAATTGTTACCATGCCGCACAAGAAATCAGTAATTATGTCAGTTTTATTTATTAACTGAGTTTGAACGATCTTTTATTTTGAAAAATCTTTTATTTTGAAAAATTATTGTATTCTTTTCGATACATCTCACTCACTTGAGCGCCAAAATTTAACTCACAAGCTAGCAAAATAAAGTAAGAAACAGACGTCTTTCTTTGTGAAAGTTTTTTTTGTGAACCAACTGCAAAGGAATGGATCCACAGCCCATTTGTTAACAAATCAGGTGAATTCAATATGAATTCATGTATGTGCAAGAAGATCAACTGCTGGAGATTGCAAATCACGATGGCTGTTCACATATCATGTCTTTTCCACAATCAAGTTTGCCATTTCCAATGGAGGCATGCAGCTTTTGCACGCATATTGCATTCGACGCCTTCCCGCCTTCCAGGCACACACAGTTGAAAACATCTTCTTCAGAGTGCCGTGTTCAGAGTGCTGTGAGTGCACTGCGAGTCATGTGACAAGAAGTAACTTATCAGCTTCATATTTTCTTTGGAATATACTAGGGATGCCACAATTCTAAATATAATATTGAACCGTTCGGTACAACATCCACTGTTCAATACGCGCTTGTGAATTGCGTTTTTTTTTTTTTTTTCTGGTTTTACGTTTAAATAATTTGTGTGCATTTTATATCTCTCCGAATTGACTGTTTGTGTGTACTTGTAAGACTACGAGCTGAGATGAAAAAAAATCCTCCCTGCAAGTAAATATTCAATCACTTTGCTTTAAAATTAGGTTACGCTTAACCATCATTCCACACTTTAACATGGCAAACGGCTGTGAAGTAAGGCAACAGTATGAGGAAGCGCCGGATTTCTCACCACACCGACGTCTTTCAAATCTGCAGAGTAAGCAAATTTCGTTTTTGCCGTTGAGTATAATAGCAATGAAAGAAAAAACTTTGTGCAAGCATTGTTTTACATGTATAGCCTACTCAAATAGAAACACTACCAATAAGATTGCACATCTGTGGCGCCATCACCCAGCAATATCACTGTCTGAAGGCAGGATAGAAGAGAAGGTAATAAAGTCCTCCAAAAAACAATAATCTCTCGCTGAATTCTTCCAGCAAACATACCCAACTAGTTCCGAGAGACACATAAAAACAATTTAATATTTATAATTATAATAAGACTACTGAAAGTGGCGAGAGTGTCAAAGTAGCCAGAAGTCATTCATTTTCAATGAGAGGTGGCGACGATAAGCGGCACAGCACGTCTTCACCTGTGTGAGCATTGTGGATAGTTGAAATCAAGTCAACTTTATGATAATGATCTATGACATGGTTCTATGGCAAGTTATCGGAATGTAGAAGTCCACTGCTTAAGAGGGTTTCAGAGAACACATTCCTGGAGCAGTAAAGACAGACAGCGCTGTCAGCAGGGCGGTCAGAGCGAACTCCAACATATGTTTGTCATAATCACTTACTGACCTTTTCTACTACCATTCAACATGAGAAGTACCGTCGTTACAAACTCAACAAGGTTGTGAAAAAACATCAAAGAAGGTATTGGTCTACATTGACATGAGATCATTTGCTGCCGACTGTCAACTGTGCATTTATGATATGAATTTCTGGTAAATACTGGTAATACTGGTACTGGTAAATACTGGTACTAGGGGTAAAAAGTGTGTCACGAAAACATTGCCTACTCCATTACACCACCATCAGTCTGAACAATGAAGGCAGGATAGATCCATCCTTTCAACTTACTTATGCCAAATTTGGCTTTAACAAAGCCAAACGTTGCAGCAGAAATTGAGACACAACAGACCAGGCATCATTTCCAGGTTGTTACCCAACCTGCCTGGTTAGTTTTTCAGAATTCAGTGTATTATTATAAACACTTTTAAAATCAACTGCAGTAAAATTTGACAGTGTTGGGTTACTTGAAAAAAGGAATAGATTACAGGTTACTGATTACTACTGGAAAATTGTAATTTGAATATATTACTAATTACATGTAAAAAGTAATCAGAATACTAATTACTTTACTTTGAAGTTACTTTTAAAACATATAAAACATAAAAATACAAAATATACCGTAACTATTTCAGTAATTTATTATTCACTGTAAAACATTATAATTGGTTTAACACAGCAGCTTAACTAATTTAAAAGATTTGAAGAGAAGGTTTTAATTGTTGGGTGAACTTCTTCTTCATTTACTTAATATTCATTTGTTCCAAATCTGTTTTTTGTTGTTGTTGTTGTTGTTGTTGTTGTTGTTGTTGTTGTTGTTGTTGTTCTTTTGAACGAATAGAAGACATTTTGAAGAAAACTGGAAACCTGTAACTGTGAACATCTATTGTAGGAAAAACACATAGATAACAATGTGTGGAGACAAACTGTAAATGCTCAAATGTTGAATCAGTGAAAGCTGGAATACATGAGTGTGCCACGCTGCTTGCATGCCATGTGCGCATCTCTCCCAATATGCATCCATTAGACACGCCTCGAATGGAAATAACTAACTTGTGCAAACCAAAGATGGGATATGTGAACGGTCCCATAAGCAGCTTTGTTTCTCTTCAGATTTTCAGAAGTTATTCACTCCTGATCCTGCACAAAATTCCAGTTTAGCCTGTTAAGGCTGAGTTTAGCCGCTGTGCTTTTGGCCTTCGATATCCTCCTGGGCAACGAACATTGTCGTAGGATGCTTTCTTTTAAATTGCTTGAAAAAGTTGCTGGTCGAGTTAAAAGCAGTCAAAATTTCTTTAGAGACTGGACTTAGACTGCAGACTTGTTTTTTCAGCTGAAACTCATTCATTCATTCATTTTCTTGTCGGCTTAGTCCCTTTATTAATCTGGGGTCGCCACAGCGGAATGAACCGCCAACTTATCCAGCAAGTTTTTACGCAGGGGAAAACTGTAGGGGAAACCGGAGCACCCGGAGGAAACCCACGCGAACGCAAGGAGAACATACAAACTCCACACAGAAACGCCAACTGAGCCGAGGATCAAACCAGTGACCTTCTTGCTGTGAGGCGAACGTGCTACCCACTGCGCCACTGCGTCGCCTCAGCTGAAACTGTGATTTTAACAATAATATTGTTTTATAAAATCTATATTCATATTGTAAGTATAACACAATTACACTGACTTTAGTACTTGTAATCAAATTACACAATTTTAAATGTAATTCGTTACATTACTGTGTTCCACAAAAAAAATGTAATTAGAATACAGTAATGCACCTAACTCTGGGAATTGATGCAAATATCTATAAAGATCTGATAAACACTGCTGTAGAGCTTTTATAATTATGTTAGAAGTGTTATATTGTTGTTCATATTTCACGGTAAATCTTTTAGAGATACAAATAAATCCAGATTAGGAAGTAAAGTATACTGTAGGAATGCTTTTGATTTTTATATGCTCTTTTAAAGTATTTTTAGGGTGAATCCAAGATGAAAGCTTGCCTGTT